CTATGAACGCTGGAGTCCTTACCGCAGCTCAGGACCTCTGCTGCTTCTTCTGCACATGGTGGTGGAGAGAAGCCAGTTTGCACTAGACCTTCAGACAATCATTCATGTCATGTGGAAGCATTCTAAGTTGTGTTGTCCAGGTGTGAACTTGTAGCCACTCACAGTGCCCAATGTCCTTTATCTAAATTTTTATCTATATATACATACGTATATATATATATAGATATATGTGTGAAACATGTGTGCGTGTGCCCAACCTGTCTTATCGGGTCTCCGGTCCTGCTTAAAGACATGGCTTGCTTGCCTGCCATTTAGCGTGCAAACATCCCAACTTGGAATGCATCTGAGGAAGCGAAGCAGACGCTCTTCTTTTGACCATTAGGGCTGTTTTGCAGGCGCAAGTTTCCGAACACCCACAGGACAGTATGTGGGCAAACCAGCTCAAGCGCGTGTGTGCTGCATGCCAGTCAGGCCAAAGCATCTAATGCGAGAGCCTGACATGAATTCAGTGTGGCATCAAGGCAGCGATCCAAAATACATGGAAAGGAGCAAGCGGGCATTCCTATGTGCGTTTAAAGACCACACACATACATATTCATGTATATACATGCAGGAACTATGTGTAGTGTATATACATAATTTCATATATGTGTGTGTTTGTTTTTGCCAGTGCGTCCCAGTGCCAGGCATTCCAAGTTTCCAAATAGGTTATGGGAGTGCCCGCACTGTGCGCATCAAGGTGCCAATGTATGTATACCACGATAGCTGTTGATACCTTTCCAGACGCTGCGCTCTGAACAAATGCATGAGACGACAAAGACCATACAGGAGGGGGAGAAAAAGCGCGCTGCATGTTTGCGCAGGGGTGGGCAATCAACAGTGGTTGTGGGCACATTTCTGTTTCCGTGATTGTGAAATCCGCCATGTCTTCCTATATCTTCCCATGATCTCATAGGTCCTGCTGCCTAATCTGTCCCAGCCACTATATCCTGAGTAGAAAAATGTACTTTTACATATGAGTCTCAGGATTATCCATGACATGTCCCGAAGGTTTGAAGGGAGTAAGG